AGCAGTTGAGAGCTACCCCTTACCAGTCACAGTCACAGTGCTCTGCAGGTGACCGATGACATAATGTTGGTTAACAACCCCGTAAGAATTACAAGGCTCGCTTTACCAGTGGGGTGGCTCCAGAGGCCTCGTTAAGGACTCACGGCCACTATCGGCCGGATGACAGCCAAAGCCCTATCGATTTGACGCCGATGCCATTTTGCTATAAAATGCCACGTATGGCTCATTTAACCACTTCCCCTGCAGAGTCCTAGAAGTTCGTTCATTTGCTCCTCCGTTCAGGTACCCCACAGGTAGCTGCGGAATGCTTGGTCAGTCCAAAACACCTTAAGAGTCGCTAAATCGCAAGTACCTGTTGCGTTCACTTCCCAGTTCTGCAGGGAGCAGAAACCCTTGTCTCCTCGCGGGAATTAGAGCCTAGTTTCTCCAGGTGCCTTCGCAGAGGCCCTGGTCTGCGAACCAGAAGACCCGAGTACAGATACAGAATCGTGTCCTGTCAAGGGCGCTTCTCCAGAAACAGACCCAGATAAGTGTGTGACAGGGCTGTGAGTGTGCTTTGCAGGATGTCACAGTGAACGCTGGCAGTGATGACGGACGAGGCACCCATGGACACCGGTCCTTTCGCACGCCTCAAGTCCACCTGCCATCCCAGGCGAAACTCTAGAAGCTGCCTTGGCAGGCAGCCGGGGCCTTCTCCGAACCTCCTTACGATGCCTTTCTGTTCACGTTCCCTTTTCTCTGCCTCCTCATCACAATTCTACGTTGGCTTCTAACCTCCGATCACGCTAGAAGCTCCTGACTTTCCCATTCACCTGAGGAAGTCATGTTTTCTTTACTTGGAACTTCTAGATCTTTCCATCGAGTTCCTGTGCACCTCGAACACAACGCTGGTCTTTTCACTGAAACTTCCCTCACTTCCTTGGACACCGAACCTCAGACTGGACTTTTTCGCCACTTACACATCTCGTCCACTTTCTCGCCTTCCCCACCCCCCGCCTTTTTCTGGTTTCCCTTCCCAGCCTTTGAACGAAGTCGGCCGCTTTTGATCTGAAATTCTCCGTTTCTCTCAAAGCCGTCACTTCCCCTTCATCTCTCGTCCCCTCTGGTTCTTCACCGGCTGGAAGGGAAGTCACTTCCTCCTAGAGTCATACTTCCTGGCTTCGTCGTCCTCGTTTATCAGATATCGGTTGAGTGCCTGTGGGCTTCACAAGCCAGGACAGCAAGATGAAGCACATTCCTGACCCGACCAGTCTGATGGGGGCGGCGGGCATGGAAACGAACACGTGCAACATTATCGTAATACGTGTCTGGAGGAGAACGTGGGGGATGCTGATGGCCCGGTGTAGGAAGCCACAAATGCGCCGACTGGTCAGAGAAGGCTTTGCAAAAAGCCTTTCAACTGGGCTTTGAAAGGTGGGCGTTTCCCAGGGACAGAAGCGGGGAAGAAGCATTCCGGAAACAAGAAACATCATGTGCCGGGGCCACCGCTGTGAGCCAGCATATCCCACTTGGGGACACTGGTGTCCTTGGAGGTCAGGGCTCCAGTAGAGGCACTGCAGGGAGTGAGGCCGAGGAGGGGAGAGGAACTGGATGGCGGAGCGTCTTAAATGCCTTGCCCAGAATGCTGGGATTTGTCCTAAAGGCCCCAGGAAATGAGCGGGGGGTGTTAGGATGGAGAGCCATGTGGTCAGTTACGGACAGCGCCTGAACTACAGCAAGAAGGGACCACCCGTGGGTGAGTGCAGGCAGGGAGCCCAGGCGGCAGGTTCCTGCCATGTTACAAGCCAGAAACGGGGGGGCTTGAAAACGTGGGGTTGAAGAAGAGGGAGGGACTATTGACGACGTTAAGAGGGCACGTCGACGACGTGACGTGGTGACTGCCTGGGCCCTGGGAGTCACGGCGGGTTCCAGACGAGGCGGCCGAGGTGGATTCTGATGCCGTGAGGAGTGATGGAGGAGACGGGAGAGACGGGTGAGGGCGGGGAGGCGGGACCACGCGGCGGGACCACGCGGCGTGCGGCGGGGTCCGGGATGTGGATGCCGCGGGGGCCTGTGCGTTCTGTTTTGCAGCCGCGGCGGACGGCCTGCAGGTGACGGCGCCCGACAAGAAGAAGGTGGCCATGCTCTTCCAGCCCACCGTGCTTCGCTGCCGCTTCTCCACGTCCTCCCAGCAGCCCGCGGTCGTGCAGTGGAAGTTCAAGTCCTACTGCCAGGACCGCATGGGGGAGTCCTTGGGCATGCCCTCGCCTCGGGCCCAGGCTCTCAGCAAGAGGAACCTGGAGTGGGACCCCTACCTGGACTGCCTGGACAGCAGGAGGACTGTCCGAGTGGTCGCTTCGAAACAGGGCTCGACTGTCACCCTGGGAGACTTCTACAGGGGCAGAGAGATCACGATCGTCCATGGTAACGACGCCTCTGCTTTGAACCCTGGGCCTGGGCGGGACGCTGGTTCCATCCCTCCCCGACACAAGGGCCTCGAGGTTTTGATCTGAGGGGAGATGGCAGCATCGTGGGGCCTAGGACGTTGCTTTAATGAGATGGCGAGGAGAGGAGAGGGGGCGCGGTACTATCTTAAGACACAGAGGTGAGCTGGGAAATAGGGTTCTGAGCCTGAACAGAACAGAAGCAGGGTCTGGTGGAAGAGGCTCCTCGGCCAGACCCTTGACCTTGGCCTGCCTGGCCCTTTCCCAGACTCGGGAAGCAGAGCCCCTTTGCCAGGAGAGGCAGGCATGCAGGGAAGTTACAGGGCTGGGCACGCACCAGGCCCCCGGTGGTTCAGCCCCAACTCCGCCCTTTCCCCTGCTCCCTAAAGCCTTGGCCAAGAAAAGACCAAAGAGTTGTAGGTGACCTATTTTATTATTTGAACTTTGAAGAACTCCTGTGAAGCCAGCTCACGTCCGGGAGTCCAGAGTCATTCTGGAATTTAGTGGCCGTCAGAGGCCTCTGCCCGCCCGCTGGGCTCAAAGCTGTGCTCTCCATCCCTGGAGCAAGACCAGATCCCGGAGCTGCTCTCCGTCTCTAGCCTCAGGGGTGCTGGCTTTTGTCCCTGGGTAGGTTTGGTTTAGATAAGGCAAACACCTGTCAGCCACCAGCCAGGTAAAGAAACAGCACACAGAGTGGGGGTGGGGGGGAGGACCGCGGCCAGGGCCCCTCTCCGAGGCCGGTGCAAGGACTGAGCTCTTCTTTCCGTGATATCAGATGCAGACCTTCAAATTGGAAAACTCGCGTGGGGAGACAGCGGACTCTACTACTGCGTCATCACGACCCCTGACGACCTGGAGGGCAAAAACGAGGACTCGGTGGAGCTGCTGGTGTTGGGTAAGCGACAGCCATCGGCGTGCGCGTCCACCTCCGAGGGCTGCTCGGTCAGCCGCGGTCAGCGCAGCGGCTGGGTCCTTCCTGCCCAGACAAACCGGTGTTCGAGGGCGCTCTTTAAGCACAGAGCCGTGCTTCTGCTACCTCGTTTCTGGGGGGCTGGGACCCCCTGTTCAGCGTTGCCGCAGTGTTGCCTCTGCTTTCCGAGTTTTTTATTCTTTCCTTCTTTCTCTCCTTCCCTTTGCACCTGTAACCCTGATTTCTCCCTGCTCTAAGCTTTCCTTATCTATGTGCTAATTGTCGAAGAAAATGCCGTAGTTAGTTCTTGAAGCAGGGTAGAGACCACTGAGAGAGAGGAATTCCCTGGTGAGTCGGGATCTCCTGAGAGCCCGGAACCTTCCATCCATCACCTCCGCTTAGAACAAGCACAGAAAAGACGGCCACGTGCCGGGAGTTGAAGGAAGGTGTCCTGGAGAGAGGCGGGCACGTGCCGGTGTCCGCCGGGGAGGCAGATGTCTCGAAACCTAAAAGCGTCTGAGTTATTCTCAAAGCACGTCTATCCGATCCGTATTAATTTCTTCATAAATGAAAACTCATTACTTCTGGCTGTTTTTCCTCTTTCGTTCCCTGGAGGGATGTCAGCGCGAGATGACCTCCTGGTCTGAACTGCAAACTGAGCACGTGTTTTGTACTCTGTAAATGTTGGCTGAACAAGGAAATTAGAATAAAACATAGAAATGAAGACAAGAAACCACCTCCACTGTAGGAGAAAAGGCAAACACTTGAAGCCATTTTTCAAAAGAAATCACATTTTTTTGAGCTTTCAAGAAACCAGACGATAACAATTAGGGGGAATATTTAAGGGTGTTTTCTCCTAAAGGCAAATGAGGTTGAAAGTTAATTTTTACCCTACATGGTAAACTCAGCGCTCAGGGAGAAAACGGAATTTGCTCCTTCGGATTTTTCGTTTCTGTCTATTGTGACTGTGCGACTTCGGCAAATCGTCTGTTCCGCCGCCTTAATTTCATAGTTTACAAAATGGGTTCGGCTAATGATTATTTATTAATAGTTAACCCTTTAACTAATAACAATTGACCCTCATTAGAGGGTCGACTTCATTCAAACGCACACACCCTGGGTCTGATATGTAAAGCCCTGACTGCTGTGATTTGTAAAGGAATGGAAACCATGACAGATATGAAGAAGGAAATGAAAAAGTAAAAGGCTTGTGGGGACATCGTGAAAGAAGATGGGGAAATCAGACTCGGGGTCTGCTGTGACTCGGTAAATCAGCAGGTGATGAAGAGAGAAACTTCTCTAATCACGCGGCATTAATGGCCAGGTCGGAAGGGACAAGCGGTTCACCGAGACTGCGGGCAGCTGAGGTGGACACAGCTATCTGGCCAGTGCAGCCATTTGTAGGGGAAGCCGCACGATCGTCCGTGCAGGAAAGGAGGCCAGGTGCGGACCACGTTAAATCACCTGGTCCTCGTGCCGCGGACGTCGGGGAATGAAGAGAGCGGGAGCCTCGTCATCCGAGGATGCGCTGAGGGTGGGAGGCGCATCCCCCAGGCTCGAAGCCTACGAAGCAACGTGGGCAAAGGCGCTGCATCCTCAGGACAAAAAGGGGCGGCGAAAGGGGGGCTCAGATGAAAACCGGTCGCCGGCGACGGGAGAAAAGAGGAAGGACGGAGACCGGCGTCGCTTCAGAAGAATCGTAAAGGGAAAGCGGGAGGCTGCGGGTCAGCTCGACGCGGCAGAAGCGGCGTGTCCGTGGGACGAGCAGACACGCGCTGGGTCCTCCGGGAGGAGACCGGTCCCGCCGCGCTCCATGTGGATCGGAAATGTCCAAAGCACGAGCGAGGTGCCTCGGAAACGTCTCAGGGCCACGCTAGCTGTGTTAGTCATTTAAAGGGGTGAGTCTGAAGTCTGTGAGAACTTTCTGGGTGCGTACAGAACTGTATTCGCTTTCTGAACGCAAAATTCTGGATCATCTTGATAGAATGTTTTGAAATACTGGTGCAGTTTTAAGAGTTCTGACGATTTGGTCGTTGTATCGTGCAGGCCTGTTTGGTAGGCGTCCTTTGTATGTGTGACCAGGAGAGCAGCCTGATTTCTGGGATTTTTGCCCAGGAGGGCAGATAACTGGGTCCACAGTTTGCTACTTTCAACCGCCATGAGCCACTGATTCGGCCAGTGGATTTTATATGAGGAAAGGTCGGAAGGCCTGGTCTAGGAAAAGAGGACACGGACAGGGAGCCTGTCCACGGACCAGGACTGCAGGTCACGGGGGAGGGTGTCCGCCAGTGTGAACTCCCGGGGACATCTGCAGACGGATGTGTCCTCAGGAGCAGTGACTTCTCTGTCCTCATGAGGGTGGAAATCTTCTCACGAGTCATATCAGGCTTTTTTTTTTTTTTTTGCATAGGAAAAAGCGCTTCCGTGACTTTTGAGCTTTATTTCGATTCTTAAATTCTTGGATTAGAAAGCAGATGAACGTGGGCGATGTGACTACCTGGATAGATGAGAAAACGACCTCCGGGAACTCGGTCCTCGTGGCAGAGATCGGAGGGGTTGCGGTCTGGCGAGGGGGACATGCGGGGTGACGCGCATTCACGAGGAAGCCCGAGGGCAGAGCTGCCCCCAGCAGCAGGAGGAGAAACCACCGCTGGCTTGAAGGAGTTGAGCGTTCAGCTCTGCTCGGAGGTGGTCACGGAATGGGAAGCAGAAAACCGGTTGGGATTTCAGGCGACCAGTCAGAGAAGGAAGATGATAAGTTAGAGGCAGACGTAAGGCGAACTCGGTCTTCTCGTCACACGGAAGAGCTGAGCGCGGGGACGGCGGAGGGTCGTGTCTGTGACACGAAGACCCCGGATTTCATCTGAGGACTCTGGGGGCCGGCGAAGGAACCTTAACGGAGGAATTAGATCGGATCTCAGGGCCCGAGCAATAATTAGCAGCAGGGCGGACGATGCATCGGAGAGAAAGTACTGGAACGGAGGACCAGTTACGGGGCCGCCGGAGCAGCGTGGACGAGAGGAGACGAGAGTCTGAAGCCGAGGGCGAACGGGAACATTCCTGGGACAGAGGCGACGGGTCCTGGTGACTAATGTATAAAAGGAAACGAGAGAGAGGCATGACTCAAAGCGACACCGTGACTCTGAGCTGGGCGGCCAGCTGTTCCACCAACTCGGAGACAGGACACAGGTCGGGAGGCGGGCCGGAGACAGAGAATGAGTCGGTGCCTGACACGTTGCCTGCGAGAGGCCCGGGAGGGACCCCGAGGTGAGAGGTCCCGCTGACGATTGGAGATGCGTGTCTGGGACTCAGTGGAGGAGCGAGGACTGGAGGGGACAGATCGAGAATCAGGAGCGATCGTCAGAACCAGGAAGGAACAGACGGGACACCCGGGGACATGACGCAACGTGAAGCGGGCCCAGGACGGGCCCCATCGGCCCGATGGGCTAGCCGCACTCCGCGTGAGCGGTAGCATCGCCACCGCACGCGTGCCTGGATTTGGCGCGGTGCCGGAAGCTTCTCAACGCAGCAGGCCACGAGCTCTGCAGGGGCGGGGACCAGCCCTCCATCCAGCCTTCTGTCCGCCATGCCTAGCACAGTGTCTACAATAAAGACACTGTAACATACTTACTCTGCGGCCTCTTAAATGTTAGTCGGTGCCGAGTGTGTGTGTGTGTGTGTGTGTGAGTGCGTGTGTGTACATATATATTTGTTGACTTGCAAAGTGTCAATACAGTAAAAATCTACAGTCTCAAGTGAGATACCCTGGTTTCATCTCATTGGTCATAATTCTTTATCTAGGTTTTTGATTTGTTACCAGTGATGGACCCATCAGAGACTGTGATCGAAAGCTACAGAAGTAGACACTGGCTAACTGGAGCAGATAGGAGTTCGTTGGAAGGATATCAGTTGTTGACTTACAAAGTGTCAATACAGTAAAAATCTACAGTCTCAAGTGAGATACCCTGGTTTCATCTCATTGGTCATAATTCTTTATCTAGGTTTTTGATTTGTTACCAGTGATGGACCCATCAGAGACTGTGATCGAAAGCTACAGAAGTAGACACTGGCTAACTGGAGCAGATAGGAGTTCGTTGGAAGGATATCAAAATCGCAAGGCTGGACAGGCAGTCTCTGGGAAGGGGAATGGTATATCAGGGTTGTTGGCCTCTGTAAAGACGAACCCAAATCTCAGGGACTTACCACGGTGGGAGCTGGTTACTTCATCTCATCACAGGCGTGAGTGCGAGGCTCACCCCGTTCTGGTGGTGGTGGCGCAGGGGGCCAGGCTTCTCCGGTGTTTGGCTCTGCTGTACTGAAGGCCTTTGCTCCCAGCTGCACAGAAAGAGAGGGCGAGGTAGGTCACGTGGGATTTTTTCGGCACCGGGTCTGACGGTGACATGGGTCACTTCCGCTGTTATTTTGTGTGTGTCCAGGGAGATAGTAAAAACGTTTCGATGAACACGGACGGCATAGTCCCTGCCCTGCCGGAGATGCTCCAGCGTCTGTGCAGCAAAAATTAACAGACATTGTTTCAGGGCTCCCCAGCTAGAAGAGCCTCAACTCGACTGATTTTTGCTGATCTTGCATTTTCCTACTCAAGAATCAGTCTCACAGATAGTTTTTGGTGGTTGCCAGATTGGGAGGGGGGTCAGGTGAATAAGGGGAAGGGGTTAAGATACACACGTTGCCAGTTATAAAAACAGTCGCAGGCATGTAAAGTCCAGCACAGAGAATATACTCAATCATAAAATAACGACGTGTGGTGTCACACGGCTGTCACGTAAGTCACTAGACTGATTGGGGCGATCACGTCATAAGTCATACAAATGTCTAATCGCTGTATTGTATACCAGAAACTAATACGATAGTGTATGTCGACTGTAATTGAAAAAAATATTTTTAAAAAAGAATCGGTCTCAAGAGAGAGTCCCGGTTGGCTCCGTTTGGACAGGTGTCCACTGCTTCACCTCAGGAGATCAGGG